ATTTTTAAATAATATTATTTTTATTTTATTAAATTATCTATTTAATTTTATTATAATTTAATTTAATTTTTATTAAAGCAAATTAATATTTAATATTTAAAATTATTAATTCAAATTAAAATTATTTGAAATTCAAATTAATTTTATAATAAATATTAATAACAAATAATTTTTAATATTTAATATTTATTCTGAATATTATTAATATAATAATATAAAAATAAATTTTAATTTAAAAATATTAAATATAAAAATTCAATTTATATTTATTATTCTTTTTCAAGTTAAAAATTATTTTAGCAATTTATATTATTTTTTAAAATACTAATTTTTTTATAATAATAATAACTATTATAATATTATTTAGATATATTTTAATCTTTTGCTAATTTCAATATTATTTAATATTTTTTTATTTTTGTATTCCAATTTCATTTTAATATTATATATTAAGATTATATATGTTAAATTATTTTTATCTATATTAATTTAAATTATAGAATTTTGTAATTTATTACCATGACAATATATCACAGAATTTCAAATTTAATAGTAATAGGAACCAAAAATATAATTTTAAATTTTTTTGAGTTCATATTTCTAACTATATCCTTTTAGTAAATAGATGACATAGTAATATATCACATAGTGTTTCTATAAACTAAACCAGACTTTTGTCCAGGTTTGAGTTTAGTTCAAAATTCAAACTGAACTCAAATTGAACTTTGGCTTGAGTTCAAGAAAGATACGAAGTTTGAACTAAATTCAAACTGAACTATTATATGAGTTTGAGTCTGGTTCGAGTTCAATTAAAGATTAACATATAGTATTATATATCAATTTGTAGCTCTAAATATAAGCTACAACTTTATAATTTGTTTAGTAAGAATTAAAAGTTTACATAGTAATAATTAAAGTATTTTTATTTTTACATTTATTAAATTTGATTGTAAATACTATGTAATTCTCTGAATAATTATTATTAATAATAATTATCTTATATCATTTTGTAGTTCTTATTTCTGGCTACAACGTTACTTATAACTGTAATTTATAATTACTATAGCAAAATAAATATTTATTATACTAAAGTAGATTAAAATCATAATAATAAAATTATTTTTTAAATTCATATAACTTCTTAAATATTTATCCTAAATATTAACTATCTTATATCAATTTGTAGTTCATGTTACAATCTATTACTTGAACTCAAACTGAACTTTTGGTCAGATTCAAGTCTGGTTCAAAATTCGAACTGAACTTGAACCAGACTCAAACCTGACAAAAAGTCCAGTTTGAAAATTTGAATCTGATTAAAAGTCTGGTTTAAGCTCAAACTGAATCAGACTCGAACTGAACCAGACTTTTTTTTGGAACTCTAATACTACATATGTAATAAATTATAATCTTATTTTCTATTAATTTTAAATATTATTTTCTTATTTTTTTATAATTTGATTTCAATTTAATAATAATAATTAAGTTTATCTTATTTATAAATATTTTTATTTATACTTATTTTAAAATTATTTTCATTTATACTTATTTTAAAATTATTTTATCTATTGTATTTTAATTTTAATTTAATTTTAATTTTAATTTTATAATAAATACTATAATAATATTTTTATGAACTGAACCAAATTTTTATTTGAATTCAAATTTGATTCAAAATGTGAACTGAACTCAAATCAAATCTTTAGTTAAGTTTAAGTCAAATTCAGTGTTCAACTGAATTCAAATCAAATTTTGAATTTAATTTGTATTATTAAACTAGTTTTAAATCAGATTTAAGTTTAGTTCAAGCTCAAACTGAATCTGACTTGAAATAAATCAGACTACTACACCAAAATTATTTTGTCTCAAAATATTTTTATCTTCTATTAATTTCAAATATTATTTGAATGCTTTTTTATCTTTTTGTATGCTAACTCCATATTAATAACCAATACAATATTTGTTTTGTTACATTTTCATCTTTTGCTGATTTCAAATATTTTTTTATCTTTTTGTGTTTTGATAAATATTATATTATCCTATTACATTTTCATTTTCTGCTGTGTTTAAATACTATTAGAATGATTTTTCTCATTTTATTGTGATCTAGTTTCATTTTCATATTAAATTTTAATTTTCAAATTATAATAAATTCAGAAAACAAAAAATTTTTCAATTTAAAATTGTGAACATTTCAAATTTTTTTTGGATATAATATTTTATAGAGCTTAGATTTATTTCTAATTTTTTATCTTTGAAATACTAACTATTTGTTTTTGAAACAACTCATTCAGAAAATATAAACATATTTTCATATAATAAATCAAAATTAAATCGCCATGAAAAAATGAATCAAACATATTATAATATTTATTATTCGAAGATTATTTTAATTGAAAAAAATTAATATCTATACTTATAAATTACTTTTTTATATTATAATTATTATTTCATATAATACAAGATAAAAATGATGTATAATATTCGCGAGAATGTATGGGAGGAAAAAATCTTACGATCCAAGACCTGCCCAGGAGGACTATAACAGTTCCTGTGCTTTTGCCTTGCTACCGTTACCAATATCACTACTACTAGATTTTCTTTTTCTCACAGTTTATGCAAAATCCCCTTATCGTTAGATGTTGCAGAACTCTTAAATCGACAGTATGTTTCATGTTAGAAATTCTATCCACTTCTTAACTGGGAAGTAAATCCAAATTTGACCGGTAATGTTATCAAGAAAGTTCATTTACTACTTAGATAGAATTTTAATATGAAAAAACTATTGTCGATTTAAGAGTTTCTACACCATACGTAATCAGTGAAATGGCGTCAATATCGTGTCAATATCGGTTTGGTGGAACAGAAAATGTCATGTCCATAAAATGAAATGGAATGGATTGTCGGTGATATAAGATTTCCTGATTTATGCTGATAGAAAATTTTTGTTGAAAGATTTATTAGATTTTGACTTCGGGATTTTTTCTTTGGAATTCTTAGTGTTAAGAGTTTTAATTAATTAAAGATATCGCTAAAATGCTAAATCGAGAGAATATTAATAAACGTCACCAAATTAGTGTGATTTAAATATACGTAGTGATTCGGGAACAAAAATTGTTGCCTCGATTTCATTTGTAAGCAGTGAATTCACTAAAGTTTATTATAATTTTTCTTCAAACGCTGCACGTACGTATATTGAAGATTTGCGCTAAGTCGAATGTTGTGATTCCGTGATCGGAAAAATTAACATTCAATTTCATTGTACCTTTTTAACGAATTACCTACCTGTCTAATGTTAGAAAATATAGTATAGTTGTTCTTTATTAAATTTACAATTCAAACTATACACACCTATATGTGCACAATCATACCCATAATTCTTTGGTCTTTTTTTTTTACTACATTCGCTTTGATATCTACTTTCAAACGATGTTTTTTATTTTTTAAACAACCATTTTATAGTAATACCTCAAAGCTCAATTTTTTCAATCAAAGATATTGAATGCTTTGTAATTAATTTCTAAATAGGAATTCCTGCACTTATAATAAACTAATTCGAAGAAAAAATATATTTTAAACTCAAATTATTGGTTCGTTATGGAATGGTTTCTTACATGTCAATTTTAGTGAAATTGCAAATTGCTTGACAAAAAATTTTGGTCCTGCTGATTCTGAACATATAAGTTTTAATTGCAAATTATTAGATAAAAATTCTCTAAATCAATATATTGATATCATTAATCTTCAAACAATAATATAAATGCATATGAATAACCACAATTTAATGAAAAATATATGTTCAGAAAGCTTAGGACTAGGTTTGGATTATCTCTGACTGTATTATCACAAAAAACTTATTGAAACAAAACAGAACATGTAGCGGTAGAGTGATGAAATTAACAAGTTGAGTCGATGGTCAAAATTAGATAATCAGTTTAGTTACGAGAAACAAGCATTGACTGCATAGTTTACGAAATACCGATAAACGCCGTACTACGTACGTACTTATTGTTATGCTTTTGTCGGTATTCTAACCCTCGTATTACATTTTTTATGGATCATAAAATGTCGTACATATAAATGTATTTTAACTGATACAAATTGAATACGTGATTAATTATTACACACGGTCGTCGTTAGCATATACATGTAGTGCAAATCTTCAATATCAGATACGGATTAATGATAAAACTTGTTATCGTTATAAATTTCTTTTGTAGAATGGCCTCGATAAAATAAGCAAACAAATACATATGCTATTATCCAAGGTCAGTGCACACACAATTTGTCACGCAAATCAGGAGTGATTTACATATTAAAAAACCAGTTTTCTTTGCCCTGTTTATAATATACCACCATCTCGAGGTAAAACTTTGTCGAAAGCTCTCGTTCAGGAGCAACTGGTGAACCACTTTTTATGGCAAGAATTTGTGAATCGAAGAATCATCAAGCAAAAGTAGACAAAATGGACGCCGATTTCGAAGGTGTTGTATTCTATAGGGAGACGTTATTTTTCTACATTATATATATCGTTTTGTTCGCGGAAACCTAGGCAACAAGCTTTGTTTAAAGGCTCTTTTGAGTGCTTTGGCTGAGCTGAGAATTTAGACGAAAAATTCGAAAATGCGATTACGTACGTACATCGATTTTTTAATTGATCGACATCATAAGTTGCATTTTTGGACAAACCGAAACATTACGTACTACATGTACGTACTACCAATCAAGATTTCATAATACGCACATGTACATGTTCACGTACTAACGCTAACGCTAACGATGAGAAGCAATTAAAATCAATAATGATAATATTCGTGCAATTTTGCTAAATATAAAAAGAACAGAATTCCTATTTAAAGTCTAGAACTTTAAGTTTTCCGATTACTCATTCGTTTATATTGCTTTAATACCACCAATCTTTTCCCAACTACTTATTTATCTTACTAATACCACCAATCCTTCCCAACTTGTTTATAAAACAGACATTCATTTACTTAAAAATGGGAAACCAACATTCAAAAAAATTGAGACGACGAAACTCCAAACAATTCGCCAAAGAAATTTCAAGTTCAAGTGCGGATGATTATCCAAATTCAACGGATTCGAGTTTTCTCCACGTAAATGGCCGAAAATTTTATCGAGATGCTCCCTGTGTATTCCCAGTCGAGGATGAAAATGAAACGATACGAAACGAAGAAAAACATACCATAGTAAGACTTTTATTTGATGGAAATTTCTCTGCGCCAATCGAAGATCGTTTAAAAGCTGGTGGATTAAAAATCCTGGACGTTGGGTAGCATCTATCGAGTCTTTTATCTTGTAATGTCTTGTAATGATGATAATTTCTAATTCATGAATCATCCTTCTAGATGTGGCCCAGGAACGTGGATAATCGAAATGGCCAAAACATATGCATTATGTTCATTCACGGGTGTTGATATGTCCCCAAATTATTTCTCAAGAGCACTACCAGAAAATGTTGAATTAATACAAGCCGATATACTTAAAGGTTTACCAATCGAAAACGGTGAATTCGATTTTGTGGTCATGCATTTTTTAAATGGCTGTTTCGCAATACGACAATGGGAATCAATAATCATTCCAGAAATTGTTCGTGTTATGAAACCTGGAGCATGGCTTGAGTGGTTGGAGTGTGATGCAGCTTTAAAAAATCAAGGAGAAAATACAAAAAAAATGCTGCAAGCTCGTAAGTCGCTTATAGTGATGTCTAAGACTCTCAAGTTTTATTACAAGTTAATATAATAATCATTTTTTTCAACAGTCTTGTCGTTAGCAAATTCGCGAGGTACAAATCCATGGCTAGTCGTAGAAATTCCAGGAATATTAAAAAATTCAGGGGTATTGGTAAATATAAACACCGAAATACGAGCAGTCAAATATTGTTCTCCTGGAAAATGTGGTGAATTAGTAAGTATTTTGTTAGCTTTCATTAATTCATTCGAGCTTGATGAATCGATTAATTAATTATATTTAACTTATTCAGGCTAGAAAAGGATTTATAAGCTTATTCCAATTTATGAAAAATCAAACTATGGAATTTATGAGTATCACGTCTCACGAATACGACCAGCTACTCGTCAAAGCAAACGAAGAGCTTGAACAATATCAAACGATAAATGAATATTATCGGTTTAATGCGCAACTAATTGATAATGATAGTGAATAAACAACCTACATAACTTATTTATTAATTAATTTAATTTTAGATTTAAAATTTCATCTGTAAAAATGTACCAAATATTCTAAATGCACAAATATACAATTTCACCGAAATTTCGGGTCACGTGACAATTTTTGATGACGTCACAATGCGAAAAGGGTTAGGGGTTGGCTCTTGGTCAAGGTTATTGGAAAACAAAAATGTATACATAGTAAAATCTCGCAGTGAACATTTTTTTATTAGAACAAAGATAGTTTCGTAGACTAGATTTTGAGATAAAAGCTTTTTTTCAAAAAATATGTCTTTGTTTTGTTTATTTTTGATTTTTTGTGTTACACATTGATCTTGCAGTTTAATTGGTCATCATCGCTGACATCAAAACATTATCACGTGGTCCGAAATTTCGGTGTCCTGGTGGATTCTGATAAGGATATCGATATCGCCCTTTCTAAAATATTAATAACTCTTGATAATCGTTGGATAATTAGAATGCTTTCATAAAAACCAAATTTATGCAATATGCGTTTGCAATACGTAATACATGTATATTGCTTACTTATCTATTCTATTATAAACAACTCGTTTTGAATTTTGCGTTTTGAATTTTGTATGGTGCATAACATCTAAACTCATCAATAGATTGTATTAAATAAATTCAATAAACTATTGTATCAACATTAAGAAGTAAATACAAAATTTAATCCGTAAATATGATCAAGAAATGTCTGTGCTATCATATTTACGGATTAAATTTTATACATGTATGGTGTGAGCGATCTAAAGGCATCCAATACTTTGAACTGCAAAGGCTTTGCATCTAAATATGTAATTACAAAAAAATGCATTGCTAGATAGTCTTTGATAAGATCTAGAAAGCAATGCATTTTTTTTGTAAAACATATTATTAATTTATTGAGTAGTTAGAATTTTTCAGAAGACACTTTTAATAGAATTTAATAGAATTAAGAAATTTTCAGCACTAAAAATTCTTTTTTGATTGGGTAAATCTCACATGATTAATATGATTAGTTTTCATAATTTATAAAACAAAATTTAGAATTAAAAAAATGCTTGATGATATCATTGATTTATTTTTTAAGAATCACTAATTTATTTTTAAAGATTATTGATTATTTTTTACTTAAAAAGAGAAAAGGAAAGTACTCACTTAACTCCTCAAACTCTTCCTCACTAAACTAATCAAATAGTTAAACTATCTTGATTACTTCACATAATCAAACTCTTCCAAAATATTATCAGAAACTCAGTGATATGATCTATACTTTTTATTGCGAAGACAGCTACTTTGTCTGAAAGATCTTGCTCATATATTAAGCAGATTGGCATGTATAATGACAAATCTTGACCAGGATAACTGATTCTAATGCTCGCAGAATGATTTTTTTGCGATTTTTAAAAGAATAATTACAATACAAACATGAGTATCATATTGTCTTCTTCCAAAATGACTCAATAAAATTGAGCTCATAGTGAAATTTGAGTAGAAAATACATATATGACCAGCTGTTTCAATAATCTCCTGCAAATAATTCTGTTAAGATGTGAAATCAGGCTGTTGAATAAAAATACCAATTGCACAATATTGCAATTTTATCAAATTAAAAGCATGTGATTTGCAAGCATTAATAGCTTCATCAAATCTTTCATCTACAAGTCACATTCTTTAAGAATTCATCAAATACCCTTTGGTTTAATTAGGCCATCAGTATCAATAAACATCAGAATGTGATAAGAACTATCAGATATTTTATCATCATAAAGAAGTGTTGTTTGTCACCATCCTTCAAATTAATTTATAAAATAAACAGGATATCTTGGGATATGTTCGCTCAAAAATCTGAATAGCTCTGTCAACCACTTGTTTGATAAAGTCTTGATTTGTTCACCAGCCATTTTGATTAGAACCTGAATGCATAAGCTAATTATCATCAGGAAGTAAGTCATTTACAGCTAGGTCCTCTTCTGAAAGATGAAGATGTCCAATTGATTCACAAATGAAATTGCTCACATGAATACCAAGATCTTGTAACTTGTGTCAGAGCTGGTTTTCTTTTGCTAGATCCCAGGTTTTAACGACACCATTATTGGCATAAAATACTGATTTGTTGTGAGTAAAATTTTCGCAATATCAAGAGACATTACTAATTATTTACACCAAATTAGAAAGAGATCTAATAATATTAACATTAAAAGCAATTAAACTAATAATATTTGAGCGCAACCACACATTTTACATGTACTGTGGTTCGAGTTCGATTCGAATTCTAGTTCGGACTGTATTATGTTTTTGGTGTAGATATAAAGTGAACAGATTCTCTGTTTTATTCTGTTTAAAGTCTAGAAAGAATTAAATCGTTTATATTATTCGGCACTTTTATATCACTAATCTTTTCTCATTTAATCGAAATTCAAAACATTCATTTGTTTATATATGTCATGAGTCGGAACCGGATTTGTGTTGATTCTGAATCAACCTAGGTTGATCCAGGATTCCGTATCAACGCAAGT